ATAATTTATCTCTCTGTTTCAGATCTTACATTAATTTTTGTCTTCCAAAAATTTCATAATTTCTTATGACTGTTTCCTTTTGTTCATTCTATTAGGATCCAGAGGACAGATTACAGTGACTCAGACTCCTCCAGTGAAATCTGCTCTCCCAGGCAGCACAGTGACCCTGAGCTGTAAAACCAGCACTTCCAGTGGACTTGGTGGTGCTTTGTCCTGGTACCAGGTCAAACCTGGAGAGGCTCCAAAGCTTTTAATATATAGCATAAACAGTCGCCACACTGGAATTCCAGAGAGGTTCAGTGGATCTGGATCTGGGACTGACTTCGCTCTACAGATCAGTGATGTCCAGCCTGAAGATGCAGCTGATTACTACTGTTTTGCTTGGTATAGTGCTCCAAACCTCACACAGTGACAGAGAGCCGTACAAAAACCTCCCCAGTCTCAGTTCCTGCTCCGCTGCCCTCAGAACTGCTCTGCAAAACAGCTGCTGTACTGATTAAAAGACCTGTGAAGTATTCTTTACTTAAGAATAGGTTTTTATTTTTTGATTAAAACATCATATCCCAAATATCAGAGGAGAACTAAAAATCTTCTCTTCCATTAATTTTTAAATCCTTGAGCTCATACTTTCAGTAATGAGACAGTCACTGTGCCCTTGAAAATGTCTTTGCCTAATGAACTTGTTATAAAAACATTGAGCGGGTGGTATGTGCTGCAGTGAACTAAACCTCTGTTCCTGTGATTGGAAGGTTGCTGGTTCAAGCCCAGCTTCAGCAGAATAGTCACATGCCACTGGGCCTGAAAGCGAGGCCCTTAACCCCCAGCTGCAGTCGGCTGCCCTTCACTGCCAAGCCTCCTCTCACCTACATGTGTGTCTGCATGTCATGGGGAGCAGGATGGGGTCGGCGAGAAGAGAATTACCCCACAGGGACCAGTATAGTCCCATTAAAAGTAAAAAAATCAATAGTTTCTGTTCATAAAAAAAATACCAGCTGCTTTGGGAATAAAACTCAAGTCACATGTTTAGAACATATTATTCTTCTGTATCAGACATGAAATAACATATTTCAATGATGCCTGGTTTTAGAACCTACATAACAATTTTCCAGGAAGTTCTGAAAATTTGCATTTAAATATCGCTGTTGCTGTTAATCAAATACACTATATTGCTAAAAGTATTGGGACACCCCTCCAAATCACTGAATTCAGGTGTTCCAATCACTTCCATAGCCACAGGTGTATAAAATCAAGCCCCTAGCCATGCAGACTGCTTCTACAAACATTTGTGAAAGAATGGGTCACTCTCAGGAGCTCAGTGAATTGAAGCGTGGTACCGTGATAGGATGCCACCTGTGCAATAAGTCCATTCATGGAATTTCCTCACTACTAAATACTCCACGGTCAACTGTCAGTGGTATGGCGGTTTGGTGGTTGCCAGGTGAACGGTACTTGCCTGACTGGATTGTGCCAAGTGTAAAGTTTGATGGGGGGGATTATGGTGTGGGGTTGTTTTTCAGGGGTTGGGCTTGGCCCCCAGTGAAAGGAACTCTTAGTGCTGCAGCATTCAAAGCCATTTTGGACAATTTCATGCTCCCAACTTAGTGGTAACAGTTTGGGGACGGTCCCTTCCTGTTCCAACATGACTGTGCACCAGTGCACAAAGCAAGGTCCATAAGGACATGGATGAGCGAGTCTGGTGTGGAGGAACTTGACTGGCCTGCACAGAGCCCAGACCTCAACCCACTAGAACACCTTTGGGATGAATTAGAGTGGAGACTGTGAGCCAGGCCTTCTCGTCCAACATCAGTGCCTGACCTCACAAATGCTCTCCTAGAAGAATGGTCAAAAATTCCCTTAAACACACTCCTAAACCTTGTGGACAGCCTTCCCAGAAGAGTTGAAGCTGTTACAGTATAGCTGCAAAGGGTGGGCCAACTCCATATTAAAGCCTATGTATTAAGAATGGGATGTCATTAAAGTTTATGTGTGTGTAAAGGTAGTGTAGTACAATCCAACAATTGAATTTATGGTCAAATCATTTTAAACTTCCATTTCAATAATAAACATTGTACATATTAGCATTATCATTTACAGCATTATTAATAACTGAATGGAAAGGACAGTATCTAAAATGTTGGTTTCACACAATGATTATTTATTTTAGCTAATAACTTTACAATCAGATCAAAACAGGCCAAACGACCAAATCTGAAACTTCAAACTGACTAGATTGTGTGTCATGTTCAGTTCCTGGAATTCTATGCTTTACACATTAAGAACAATTCTGAACTTAATTTCTTCAGTTGAATCAATTTCAGTTAAAGGATTGATTTTGATAAATGCAAAATACTTTAAATCAAATGGCCTCTCATTTTTATAGAAAAAAGATTAAACTTAATGATGAATACTGTCCAGGTAACAATTATTTAATGTTTGATCCAGCAGCAATCATCAATTGATAGAGACATTTTATAAGATACTGTCACAGTTAGGTTCACATTTCAGTAAGTGTGACACAGCCTATGTCACTGTGAGAGACACGAGAGACACTTTGCATGCAGAGGATCATTTGCATCAGTGTTAAACACTTCAGTGCCCTG